TATATGTCTATAAATAAATAAATCAAATGTATTTTTTAATAATTTAATATGTGTGAACCCTTCTATAAAATATAACATTATTTTTAGTGTTACCTATTAAATAAAAAATATTAAAATCACTAAAAAGCCTAAAATAGAAACTAAAAAAATACAACCGACTTTTAACTTAAAAAAGTGATAAATAATACTTATCTCGAAAGCAAATTTATTCAAAAAAATGCTATTGAAGTCGTACGCCTATCATGTGATTACATAATAACATACAAAAGACCTCCGTCCGACTTCAATAGCATTTTCTTGAATAAGTGGCTTTTTAGATAAGTACTATTATTACTTTGTAAAAAAAAAATTCTTTATAGTGTGGGTATTATTACGTAAGTACATTTAAAATTAAATTGGTTTCTTAGCAATGTATATGATGTGATCTAATATTAGTTTCAACTACAATAATTAGATATACTAAAAATAATACTCATGTTCATAGTGTGATCTATCTTCTCACATAATAGCCATTATTTATGGAGAATATGACAATGCAAAATTACTTACGACATATAATTTGTGTCCTACAAAAATCTTTCAACGAATCGTTGCCCTTTCCCCCTCTTCCATTTTATTATCTTTTTTTCTAAACCACAAAAGGCGACAAACAGAATTTAATCAAATTATCTCAACACTTCCTACAGGCAAATATTTTGTTAAAGTGTATTTCCTTACTGAGAAAATGGAGGCTTCGTCTCCAGAGACTTGATAAAAATACGAGGAGAAGCTTTTCTATCTAGATTTTTAGGATAAGTAGTTTGAGGATATGGATTCCTAAGTATACAATAATAATTACATTTTATTGACTTAGGTTTCGTCATGAATTCCAGTTTCTAATGATATCATGAAAGGTTATTATAATAAATTGTGGATGTAGGACAAGGAAGGTCGAAGTAAAGATGGAAAGGCCCTGAATATGATAATATAATTGTAGGACAGCGGGATAGGTCGGGAGAGCCACGCTTCGGCATGAATGGGCCGGCACGACCGGAGTGATACCACGGCCTCACAGAAAACCGACGTGAAGCAATGCTTGCGTTGTGTTTCGTCGTGTGAGTGAGGGTACCGGAGGCCCAACCCCTCCCTATTCCCTTCCCTCTACCCCTCAACCCTTCCCTCCAAGGCCGGCAGCGCCCTTGTAGCCCCTCTGGTGTTGCAGGTGTCCATGGGCGACGGCAATCACTTACCATCAGGTGATCCGTCTGCTCGTCTGCCCCCTATCCCATAAAAAAAAATCACAAATAATGAGTAGAAGGTTAAAATTTTGGTGTATTAAATGGTAAACCTAAAGAGTGTAACAATATGATGAATATGGAAATAGTAAATGTATTTACAACGAGGTAGTGATTATTGCTTATATAAGACAATGTTCTTAATGAAAGTTAACCAAAATGATTTTATTTTAAATATATAATATATTGCTTAATTCCAATATTAAAAAGAACTTTAAAAAGAATTTACAAATGAAAAAGATTATAAATATACATTATATTCATCTTCTACTAGTTAAAATTAACAAATCAATAAGGCTACGCCACTTTTTATCATTGTTTTATTTTTAATATTAGCTAGCTGTTACTCGCATCTTAACTCTTACATACATACCTAGTATAAAATAATGAGTAAAAAACTCTATTACTTTATTTCCAACTTTTTTTTAAATTGTTGCACGACAAAGTGACTGTAACATACCTGGTGGGAAGTGATATTACAGTCTAATAATAGTCGCAGCTGTCAGAACTCGAAACTACTCCTGGTAGCCACCACTATCTTGCCGGCCTATTAAAGAGCCTTTTCACACCTCTTTTAAAGCACCCAAGGTTATATTTAATGGCAAAAATGTAGGATGGGAGACTGTTCCACATTTTAATGGTACGGCAAATATATGATTTGCCGAATTTTTTTGTACTAGATGGTATAGTACAAACAGTCTGGGAATGGCAGCGAGCACCGGCACGTGTCATCCTGTTACGGAAGGAGGAGGAGAAATGATGTTGAATTATTCCTTTAGAGCACTCTCCATGATAGAACCGGTAGAACACACTGAGTGAGGCAATATCACGCCTCATTTGCAGTGGATCAAGATTGTTGGTTAGCCCCTCATCGTTTATGATGCGTACTGCCCGGCGCTGAAGCCTGTCTAGGGCATCCAACAGATATTTTGCGGAGTCATCCCAAAGATAAGAACAGTACTCCATGCTAGACCTGACGTGGGTCTTATATAACAAGCTCCGTTGCTCAGGTGTAAAAACCCGGCGCACTTTGTTTAAAATTCCGAGCCTGCGAGAAGCAGCAACTATAACGCTTTCGATGTGGTCTTTTGGGTTGAGGTCGCTGCGAATATCCATGCCCAGAATGTTGAGCTGGAGCTGGCTAGGGAGTCCGTAAGAAGGAAGTTTAGCGAGGAGGCCTCTATGACAGACCCTATCAAACGCTTTAGCAATATCCAGACTGACAGCCAATGTTTCACCATGGGCGTCCATCGTCTCACCCACAGCGGTGTAACAAAAAGACCACTCGTCGACCGGTTTGGCCTAAACCCGTACTGCCGATCATGAATTATAGAATGATCTTCCAAGTAGCGAACTATCTTAATATTAATAAGCCACTCCATAACTTTGCTAAGTACAGAGGTTATAGCGATAGAACGGTAGTTCGTGGGATCTGACCGATCACCTTTTTTGGGAACCGGTTGCACATTAGCTTCCCTCCGTGGTTGTGGGACACAGCCTGATGAATAAGAAGCACGGCAGAGGCGCGTCAAAATAGGTGTCAACTCAACACGGTTGAACCAAGGGCGACTCCTGCGGTTGACGACGATATCCGATCTCATCCGCAACCGCAGAAGCACTTGCCGAGATATCCCCTTCATCAAGGCATCGCTGACGCCAAGTAAAGGATGAAAATTACTCCCTCAGGCCATCCCAATCTGCTGACCGGTAATGCCAAACACGTCGCCTTATCGCCGGAGGGACCGGTTTAGCCTCGCCTGGTATCACAGCTTCCACGACGCAATGGTCAGAAGAACCCAAGCGCGCACTTACCGAGACAACATAGCCAGTGGGGTGGCTCGTAAGGAAAAGGTCCAGCATAAAAGGATCCTGACTCGCAATATCTGGTATTCTGGTTGGCTCAATGACAAGCTGTGTAAGATTATTCGCGAGAGCAAAGGCGTGAGCGCTTCTTCCAGCATGATCAGTTTTAGAGGATCCTAACCATGTTGCGTGAGGCGCATTTAGGTCTCCCAGAACGACCATTTCTGCTGTTGGAAATTGCTCCTGTTAGTTATCCATCGCTACACTCAGGTATTCAAAAAGCCGAGTTGTTTCAATATCCCCATTGCGTGAGCGGTACACGCAGACGTAAGTACGACTCTGAGAGCCAGAGTGCACGTGTACCCAGATGGTGAAAAAAGAAGGGTCCTCCATGTAGCGCAGATAGCGATAACTTACATCCGATCGAACGTACAAGCACACCTCAGCCTTTTGCTGAAAATTTTCATCTAACAAGTAACCAGGGTAGTGTAAATAGGATGTATCGGCGGGGCACCTGATCTGCGTCTCCGTCAAGAAGAGCAACGCAGGCTGAACTGTCTCCAGACGATAGTGGACAGCATTGAGATTTGAATGGAGTCCACGAACGTTTGCAAACTCAATTTTGAAATCGGTGCTGGGGTTGTGCTGGGGCTGTGCTGTAATATCTAGATATCAGACTTCTTTTCGGAAAGTGTTCCTTTGGAAGGAAATCCGAATTTGTTTTCAAAAGTAAAAAGCAGCTTTTTACTGTCGTGTCTCTCCAACTATTTAATTTACACAAGAAAATATGCGTAGTGTAATGAAGACATACAAATAAGCATACACTTTCTCGTTTATAATATTTCTATATATAGGCTTATCCAGGTAAAATAATATGTAGTCCAAATTTTTTGAAGTCTATCCTCACAGCAAGTAATTACCTAAAAAACATGTATTTGCTTCTTCATCATCAGTAGCCTAATAATGTCCTCACCACGAGGACTCGGGCCTTCCCTATGGATGGAGCCGAATAAGGAAAATGGGCCACGACCCATCATAATGGCCCAATGTGTTAGCAACTGCCGATACAAATGGGATCAACAGCTTAACGTGCCTTTCAATGAACGGAGGAGCTCGAAATAATAAATTTTTGGTCACCCATCCCATGACTGACCCTTGCAAAAGTGAATTCATTTTCGCATCGTAGACTGAACGCACTAACCACTGCGTTGTCGAGCTCCTCGCTTTTTATTTTTTAAATATTTATATTTAAATGTGAAAACTTGCTTATAATAGTATAATTAACGAGTCAACAAATTTTCATTGTACCAGCTTAATTAAGTTATGAGAAAATTACCCTAATTTGTTCAGTGGTTTAGAGAACCAATCATGAGTCTTTTGCCATGTTTTAGGTTAAGCTCTTGATTTGTGAATGTTTTGAAGTTAAGCTCTTGATTTTCAAGCGAGCTTTACTAGATTTCTTTCATTCAAGAGTAATTAAATCCTAATAAATAATAATTATTCCTTTCAAGAAGTCTGTTACATTTCTTGGAGTTTATAATACGAAAGTATTGTGTATACGCCTTAAAATTTAATTTTCTATTAACACAACAGTCGTCTGAAACTACATAAAAAATCAAAATGGCCTCACGAATTCGAAATTTTAATATATTATTTATCTTTTTCTTCTTTGTTTCCGATGTTAGAAGTTTAAAAAGAGATAAAAACGTGAATATGATTTACCTTAACGAGCACAACGTTAAGTAATAAGGTATTATCAGACTGAACATCTTATACTGCAACAGTTTTGTGTTCGACACTGCATTCGACGTTGTTATTTGTACAGAATACCAAAGTTGGTTTCAATTTTTTTCTGTTATGTATTTATTTACTAATATTTAAGATTTTAACTTCATGACTAAAACTAACGCCATCTATCCACAGGCGCGGTCAAAACTGCCTAAGAAGAGGCGGCGCGTTCTACCCGTTGAACAACCACGAAGGAAACGCGATGCCAGTGCCTCTAATCGCCGCGTAAATGCAGTAAAACATCCCGTGGTATTGAAGGAATTGTCTCCTGGAAGTAATAAATTTGGTGAGTGAGCTTAAGTGTTTACATTGAGATCTGCCAGATGGCACCGCTTCTGCGATTATATTTTTATATTACCAAAAATATATTTTTTTAATTTAAACAATTAAAAAATACTTACCATCATAATGTTGTTACCTTATCACTTTTATAACAGAATATAGTAAAATACTTAGATTTTAGCACATAATTATGTAAACATTTGTTACTATTTCCTAATATATAATAAGTTTTATTTTTTCTTAGTTTTATAGAACAAGAAATATTGATTTTATTTCTAAAGTAAAAGTTTGGCGAGTGAGTGATAGCAGTACCCGACAAATTTGACATCGCTCTGCAAATTAGAATAATCATTCAATTCATAATATTTATTTCATCATTTATTATTGCTATGGTAAGTTCTTATTATTTCTATACTATTTCCAGGTGTCAACGGAATGAATATGATCAGCCTAGCACTTCAAGGGCCTCCAAATCTACTACGGCCTCCAGCCACCGCAGCTCAGCCATTACAAGCTAGAGCACCAATCGGTAAAGCTCACGTTATCATCGTACAATCTTCTGAAAACTCACCACCAAAACGTTTACTATAAAGTTCTAAATGGTCAATTTACCCTAAAACATTTTTAAGCTTCAAGATAAAGGAAGATGGAGAAGTAAAATCAAAAATTAATTCATTAGAAAGTGCATGAGTTTTTGCATGAATTTAAATTATGCAAATGTTACAATTCCAGCATTAATATATAATTTTATAGGAAATACAAGAATAAGTTTATGATACCGAGTAATAATGAGCGTCGTGTCTTTGTTTGCACCCTTCTTGCACAAACCTTAACTTTCCATGCATGTTATAAAATTTGTAGAATCTTGCATGTACTTTTTGGACAATAAATATATCTAAGAATTGTCTGAACTTCAGATATTTTAGAATTATTCCAGTCTCCAAAGATAAGGAAATTGAGACCTTTTTTATTTTTAAAAGAAAAAACAATATTGCAATAATAGATTCCTTTGCTCATTTTTTAGATATTCAAAAGTGAACAAATTAAATTCTTTAATTTTAAAATGATATAAAATCAAAACAGCATTCTTGAATATTCCGTCAGTCTGATAAGAATGTTATCTTTGCAGTTGAGAGTCCAATAGTCAACACGCAGTCCGGAGCCATATCCCTAGCGTCATTACAACCACCACTGATGACTGCCCCACCCCTGCAACCAAGGCCTGCAACCACCGGCTCCCTAGATCTGATGCTACCGTTGCAACCAAAACTGTTACCCGGATACAACCTCCAGTCTTCATTTCTATCCAACACCCTTTCAACTGTACGACCACCAGATTTACCCGATAAGAAAGACAATGATAGTTTTAAGCCTAGAGTAGAAGTAATAGTTGAAAGGAGAGAATCAGTATCTGATAGCTCAACGCGTGATAGTAATGTAGGTAATTCTGCAAGGAGTTGTGAAAATATAGATAGGGTTTCCGATCAAGTAAATGTATATAGTGTAGATGACAGTGACAATCGCAGAGTAGTAAACGATGCGTTCAGTGTAACAGAATCTGATTCTTACAATGATGAAATTAATTCTAACGTTATTGATTCGAAAACAGTTGAGACTTGTTTGGTGAGTAGTTCAAACGATAATAGCCCTAATAATAATTCTTACTAATTTGTTATATGTTGTAAACAAGTTCAACTGAAATATATGTGACATTCTTAATGTGAAACCCCAAATTAGATTATAGAATGTCACTCATTAAAACTTATTTTTTCTTTAAGATTCAAATAAATTCTGATATTTAAAACATTATGATTTTAATGTCTTTAAATAATGATGGCATAAAGAGTGATAAAAAAAATATGTACACTACTGATGTACAGAAAATTAACTAATCATTCGATATTTTGACCAAAGGTAGAATAGAAAGTAGTTTATTTATTGAATTTTTTGTATATTTTGTAAATTGATTATCATAAATGTAAATATGATACCTTCACGAAAAAATACCTGCAATTGAATGTGTAAGATACTTTATGTTTATGAGTCATGTTTTAATTTATATATCCATAAAAAATGTATGTAAAAGTTATCCATAATTTTGTAGACTCTGATAGACCAACAAACTTTAATCTTTGACACAACTCCCGCAATCGACTCAAAAAAAAAATGTTTTGTTCAAGCTAAATTGTGATGAATATAATAAATACATAAAAGAAAACTAACCGCCTTCTTATTAATCGAGGATTAAAATTAGTACGTGGATTAACCCATTAAGCAAATTGACTGTGACAGAAGAGAAAACGTCAAATTGACTTATTTTGGTACTGAGGTTAGTCCTCGTTTTATAATAAGACGGAATAACAGCAAGTAATTATGTCACCAGAATTATTATTTTAACAATAAATATACTCGGATGTCATAAAATATAAAATTAAGATAACTTATGGGAATGCAATTTATGAATACATGCAAATTGCATTTTATTCGATATTCTGTAGTAATTTTATGTTTTAATCATTTATATACGTCGAGTTACTTGTTTAATAATCAAATTACATTTTAAATTGTGGGTACTCAAAGAAGAAAATTAAGTTGCTAAAAATGCTTAAAAACCTGTGCAGGTTCCTGAGATAGAATGTAACAGTCATATAATCACTTACAGTTGAATGTAAATTGCAGAGGTTTCGAAATATATATGATTGAATACTTAATTGGATTTTTGAATAGTAACCCGGTGTAAAGTTAATAATTGTCACACTATATTATAATTATTATTACTGGATACAATTATAAACTTGTATAAACTAACTAAAGTATTTTAACAATTATTTACGTTTTTCAAATCAAAATTGACCTGAGTCTCAATTCTGCTGAAGTTAACATAATAATAGACTTTCACTTTTATTATATATCTGACACAGTCTTCTTACTTAATAATAAAATTATAAAAATATCTAACTATACTAAAATAACGACACTATATAATTATTAAAGTACTTAGTTGACACAAGAAAATAATACAATAGTGATGTTTATTCAAACGCTGTTAATGTTTATTAAATTAATCGACAATTATATTTAGCCCACGCCATGCCCACGTTGGCATTAATTTTAATATTTCGAATAAAAATGGTATCGAAACCCCTATAATTTGATATTACTATTAATTTAAATTAAAAAGCATTATTTGAAGTAACAGATTTAACTTTAAGCGACAGTGTATACATCGTCATCTTTATTTAATCCAAGTATTTGCCTATGAATAATGCAAATGCACTATCCCGTACACTGTCACTGTGTGTTCAGTCGTAACACTGAATATTAAAATTAATTCATTAAAATCATATGTGCTGAAATCCGGGAGAAATATATACGAGTCGTATATTATCAAAAGCGGACATTAACAATTTTGGTCCTTCTGCGACGGAAAGGAAAGAAAAGAAAATCATTTTATTCAAAATTGTTAGATATTCGCCTTTAATAATTTCAATAACGATACGATTCGTATGTAAATATATTCAGTTCTATGTTTTAGAGGCCTTCTTTCTAATTTCTCAAAAACTACATATTTTTACTTCGATCACTTTCATTGTAAGGATGCCTGAGAATTACCTTGATACAGCTGTAGTCCAATTATAAATACATTAAACTGATCCACCGTTTTTTAATTTACATTCGGTCAGAAAAATACAAGTTTTCATATACATATTAATATACATATATTAATATTAAAATTACATATATTAATTAGCAATAGTTCGTACTTATTATTAAAAGTATATACATATCTAACAAGTTAAAGTCATCACAAACTACTGAATACAGAGTTTATGTAACATAGATTTAGGGCATATGTCATCCATCGCGTCACGTCACGGCGGGTCACGTGGATATGGGCGGGCTAAATATCAACGCAGCATCAACGTTAGCAGACTTGAATTCCAGTCAGACTCGTTTTACAAAATAAATGTAATTTAATTCTAACGAAGCAATTGAACTATAACACCAATAAACTTTCATAAGAATTTAATTTATTCATAACTATGATAAATAACTGTTCGATCTATATGTTACGATACTATAATCTAACGTGCCAAACCTTCCCAAAGTAATGTAGATATTTGTATTATTAATATGAATTAGATTAGTATCGAAATGGCTGTTAAAAGATATACTAAAAGTATTAACTAGGTATTAAAAGTGAAATAATAAAATAAAATACTTAACACATCTAGTCACCAAAGGTGTAAAACACATAAACACAGAACATTATTGCGACGATATTTTTCAGCTTCAACTAAAACTGAGTGTTTTAATTTGTTTTTTTTTTATATCAACTACAGAATAAGTTTTCTTTTTTTTCATACTGATTGTATTTTCTACGAAAAATAAGGGTACTTGAAAATTTTAAGAGTTAACTACGGATTAAGCACACCACTATAGCAAAGTAACTGCACAATTAACTACATTAAAAAAGTAACAATTACATTACGTTATAATAGTTATAAGCAAAATTAATTTGTGTTTCTAAATTAAAACCTTAAAACAGAAGCAGCTGTATTTAAGGTCTTAAATGCCCAATAACTTACACTGTTATGGCCGTTTCTCTTTATCCGATCCCTGCTGTGGGTACATTATTAAGCTAAATCTGATTATTTTTACACCTTGCCAGTGAATGATAGGTAAAATAATGGGAACTGGCTATTAGACTCATACTACTAAAATATATATCTTGTCATACAAGCCATTCTAAAATTTGTTTTGTTTGCCTACTTCAGCGTTTTCGATAAAATTTTATTTGCATTCATTTAAAATAAAAAAAATGGTGAAGCTAGTTCTTTTGTTGTTTCAGGCATATTTATATATACCTGTAACGATATCATAAATTGGTAAAAATCATATTCTTATCTACCCGTCGTTTCTAATAAAAAGCGGTTCTAATTCTTTGAACTGAAAAATATCACGGCGTTCTTGACGTCCTATCATCGAATTCATTTTAATTATTTTTAAATTATAATATTTAGGAGAAAATGTTTTTTACACTTTCTGTGGTTTCTCCAACAAAAAAATAAGATAATCCGTCTACTTCTTACAGTAATTTAAAATTTCTCGATACTAAAACCCTAAATTCTGAAACATACAGCACGCGTTTGAATACCTCGTCAAACGCGTGCTGTATGTTTCAGAATTTAGGGTTTTAGTATAGAGAAATTTTAAATTACTGTAACAAGTAGACGGATTATCTTATTTTTTTGTTGGAGAAACCTTTGTTACATTAAACTGTTCTAAAATATCTGTTGTTAAGGTAACGTTATTATTTTACAGTTTTAAAATTAACCAAAAGTAATAAAGACTCTGTTTATCTCAATACAGAGCTTTTTATGACTTTTGATGATCTTAGAATGGTTGAGCTAACTCAAAAGTCTTGGTTATAAGAAAATGATGTTAATAAGAACAAAACATTAAGAATGAATGAATATCAAAAATAATATAGTATGAAATCATTATTAATAAAAAAGCTTTGAAATCACCAATAAATATTAATTTTTCATTGTAATAAAATACTGTGCTTGTAAGCCTAAAACCGCTCACTAAAAAAAGGCGATCGCTTTTTGGCTTATGAGGGTAGAATAACAATCGTTGATCTAACAAAGATTAGTTAATTATTTGTGACTTAATAACTTAATTTGATGTGTCTTCGGAATCTACTTGGATTCCGAAGACATATATATATTCGGATAGATATTCGGAATTTAAACATTATTAACAATAATACAGTTATAACTATAGCATTTTAGGTGTAGTATATTTTTTATATCGTTAATGTGACGTCACTTTAGTGTTAAATGGTCCAGAAAAGAAGGGAAAATGATTTGTTATTGATATCAAAGGTTGTTCAAGGAAAGAATTTGTAATATAGTCTTATTTTTACTGTATCCCGTTCTAAAAATAAACAATTGACAGAGAAAGTTCTTTTATTTTAGTAGTTTAAAAACGAAACATACCCACGCATACTAGACAATATTTAAAAAGGGCGTGGAAGTGATAAACACCTATAACTACCTTTGGTTACATTCATCCAGTTTTTGCCAGTTACCTTGCGAATATCGTCTTTTTTTGTCTCCACTCCACTCCACAAAATTTGTTTGCCTCCAATTCTATCCCACAAAGTTCAAAGACGAAAGTCTTTATGTGTGCTACCTGTTATGACTATATATAAACAAAGATAATATCAGAGAATTATGCTACGTAGTAGCTATTTTCCCGTGACTTTGCACTCGTAAATTGTAGCCTATAATGATATCAGTATTTCCGAAAATTACCCTCTACAAGCGAACAAAAGAGAATAGAAACTTTACCTCTTTATGATATTAGTATAGATTAAGAGTATTTCATATAGTTTAATTTCATCTTGAATAAATGTTCAAACAATGCAATGCCTTTGTACTCGTAGCAATGATCGCTTTGTATATTTATAAAATGGCGTCATGTGTATTTTGCATAACGTTGAGTTTACAAATTCAATGAGCAGATTATTTTGACATAGTACATTGCTAATATACGAATACTTAAAGAAAAAAAAAACCAGCCCAAATAAAGAAATGAGCTTGAGTTGAGTTTTGAGACAATTGGCACGTATATGAATTTCGAGAGTGGCCTTCTAAAATAAGGGGGTAAATAAGAAAAAATAAAATCTGGCCATAATCACCGAATGCAACAAATTTACTTCGCTGAAATGTAATACTTGTATTTGCACCTATACTTTAGTTCAGTCTTACTATTCTGTTACAAATACAGTGCCGACCACAGCGCTGTTTCAGCATTAAAGCTTGACAAGCAATACCAAATAAAACCTTTATTACCTTATTTTGAAGTAGGTTTTATTTGATTGCATATCTAAGCAGATCAAATCAAAGTTGCGGAGTAATGATAAAAAATCCAAGTATCCTAATATGTTATCTATTTCAAATTGCCAAGAATCAACATATACATCAATGAATGGCTCAATAATATCACGACAGCACTATGCACATTGCTGCGTTCGACGCTATATTTTTAACAGAATGCTTAGTGTAAGTTTTTTGACATTAACGTTCATCGTCGATCGTGAGCCCGTTAAGCTACAACGCCCCTAGCGATAACTATCGATAACTACA